CTTTATTGGTGATGGGAGGGTAATAATTGCATCTACCTTACAGGATTGTTGTGAAGATATAATAATGATGATAGTTAAATTTATATAGTACTATGTGCCAGGCATAGTGCTAAATGCTTTACAATTATTATTTCATTTGATGCTCACAACAACCCTGAGGGGTAGGTGCTATTATTACTCCCATTTTATAATGAGGAAACCGAAGCAAACGGATTAAATGACTTTCCCAGGGTTACATAGATACCAAGTATCTGAGGCTGGATTTGAACTGTGATCTTAACTCTAGGCCCTGTGCTCTATTTATTTTATGAAGTGTTTTGCAAACCTTAAAGCTCTATATAAATACTAGTTATTTTAAAGTAACATTTGCTGGGTATATTCCTAATGAGGTAATTATTGGGTCAAAAGATATGATTTTTGTTACTTTTACTTTTGTATTGCCATAATTTGAGACTTTAAGAAAGTTTTTATGTGTAGGCTTTAATAATAATAATAATAATAATCTTTAATAATCTTCTACTCCTTAATATTATTCTCATTCATAATTTTATTTAGCATTTAAATAACTTCTAATCAAATGCTTTTGATACCTTTCCCTTCTCCCATAGGATTTGGTGCAGTGGAAAAATTTTTAGTGGAATACAAGAGTGCTATGGAAAAGAAGCTGGCGGAGTACAAGTGTAACACCAATGAAGCAATTCAACTTAAATTAGGTATGCTACATATTAGGTGTTTTAAATTCTGTGCTCTTGGAATATGTACACTTCTTAAAAGTTGTTTGTTTCATGTTGAAGTAGGATTCATTTGTGGAAGAGCTTTTTAACTTTTATATGTATAACTTTCTATATACATGGTTCAAAGCTTTCTATTTTGATATGAGTGAATCTCAGCTGTAGTCCCTAATTCTGTTAATATAGAAACAAAGTAGATATAGAATATACAAGAAAGAAATAATAGGGATTTTTAATATTGCTTTAGTCAGGTCAATAGCCTTGGTTATGGCTGGAGGAGTGGAATGGATACCTCTATGTCAACTCACTCAGTAAGAAGTCAGAATGGAGTTTCTTTTTTTTTTTTTGGTGAGGCAGTTGGGGTTAAGCGAGTCACACACCTAGTGTCTGAGGCCAGATTTGAACTCAGATCTTCCTGACTCTAGGGCCAGTGCTCTATCCTGCCACCTAGCTGCCCCTGAGATTCTTTATTATTCAAGTATTCTATGTCAATAACATTCTCTTAAGCTAACTTTCTAGTAACCCTGTCAAAAAACCAAGTGAGATTTGTCTTGTACAACTTGTTCCTTATGTGCCCCTGATCAAGGAGCTTACAATATACCAGAAGGATAAAGCGTATATATAGGTAAGTAAATAAAATGTAATTAGAGGGAAAGAGTACTAACAACTGTATTAGATAGAATTGAATTAGGAGAATCAGGAGTTGTTGTAGAAAGTGACACCTGAACCTTGAAGAATTTTAAGAAATGGTTGTGAGGAGGTAATAATACATTTTAGGGATGGTGAATAGCCTGTATGAAGGCATGTACAGAGGAGTGTAAAGTTCAGAGAATAATAGGCCTAGTAGGCCAGTTTGCTTTAACATAGAGTAGAAAAAGGGTAGTGATAAATGAAATAAGTCTGGAAAAGTAGAGTGGAGCCAGATTGTGGAGGACTTTAAATGCCAAACTGAAGAGTTTATCAATCCAGAAACAATAGGGATCCATTGAAGATTTTTGAGTTGAAGGTTGATATGGTTAGACTTATGCCCAAGGAAAATTTATTTTAGCAGTTCAGTGGAATATGAATCAGGGAAAAGAGCTAGGAAGCTTGGAGAACAATTAAGGAGCTATTATAGTTGTCTAGGGGAGAAATGATTAAGGCATTGTAAATGGAGGAGAAAAGGGGGATAGGTAGGATTTAATCAGTTGGCAACTGATTAGTTTTGTAACCACAGAGTAATTTCTTTCATCTTTCCTCTTCTTCTTCAGTTCTTAAAATTCCAGAGTGATGATTAGGATGTTGATGATCCCATATAAGAAAAGGGGAGTTTCTTCCTTGGTTCTTCTAGCTGTCTGATTTCTCTTTTGCTGAATCTTCATCCACCTCATGCCTGCCAAGTGTGGATTAAGTAAGGCTTTGTCCAGAGCTCTTTTCTCTTCTGCCACTGTACTGTTCTATACTTTCTCAAACCTACTTATCTAGTCCTGACCTCTCTCCTGACCTCCAGTATTACGTCTCCAACTGTAGACATTTTAAACTTAACATATTCAAAATAGAACTTCTTATCTTTTCTCCTAAACCCTGTCCTCTCTGATTTTCCTGTTACTCTTGAGGTTACTATTATCTTTCCGGTCACCTAGGCTCACAACCTTGGTGTCATCTTCTACTCCTCATTCTCACCCCTAAATCCAATCTGTTGCCAAGTCCTCTTAATATCTCATATCCACCACTCTCTCTCCTGAGCCTGCTGCCATCCTGGTTCAGGCCCTCATCATCCCATGCCTAGACTATTGCAATGGCCTGCTTGTTTTTCTGTTTATTTTCCACTCAGCTCTCAAATTGATCTTCTTAAAATGCAAGACTGACCATGTCACACCTTCTATTCATAAACTTAGTTGGCTCCCTATCACCTTCAGAATCAAATAGAAAATCTTCTGTTTGGCATTAAAAGCCCTTAATAACCTGGTTCCTTCCTGCCTTTCCAGTCTTCTTATACCTTACTCCCTTCCACATACTCTATGATCTGGTGATAGTGGCCTCCTTTGCTCTTCTTCGAACACAAGACACTCCTCCCAACTTTGGGCTTTTTCGCTGATTGTCCTCCATGCCTGGAATGCCCAATCACTTCATCTCTGCCTCTTGGCTTCCCTGGCTTTCTCTAAGGCTCAGATAAAATCTCACCTTCTGCAAGAAGCTTTTTCTGAATCCCTTTTATGCTAGTACCTTCCCTGTGAGTTTATCTTTAATTTATCTTTATCTTATATGCATTTTGTTTGTATATGGTTGTTGGCATGTTGTCTCTTCCATTAGACTGTGAGCTCCTTGAAAGTAGGGACTCTTTTTGCCTTTCTTTGTATCCCCAGAGCTTAGCAAATACCTGATATAGAGTAGGCTCTACAGACTTGTTGTCTTGACTATAAAATCCCATCCAGCTCTAAATTTATGATTTTGTGAACCTTAAGAACATGTAATTTCCTTGAGTATACTTGGGCCTGGGAGCTTAGCTCTTATCAACAACAGATCAGATCACTTCTGTAGCTTGGACTTAAAAAAACTTGCTTGAGGCTCTGAAAGGTTAAATGATGTCTCCATCTTAACAGAGCTAGTTAAGTCTTTGATTTGAATTCAGTTCTTCATGACTCCAGTAGTTTATCCATGCTGTTATTCATAGCTCTTTGTTAAAGCAGACCTTGGGTTTCTCTAGTTTTTGGTTCTGTGATTTTGAAAGTATATTGCATTTCTTTTAAAGTAATTTTATTAAGATTTTGTCACTAATTTTGACTAGTGGTAAGTAAATAATGAAGACTACTACTTGTTTGCATTTTAAGGCAGTTTTAAAAGTTTTCTCTAGAGATAAACACCTTGAAGAGTAAGTGCTTCTATATATGTTAAATTTGGTAGTGTTCAGGTTTGTGTGAATTGAGGGGTTTTTTTTTTTGGTGTTGATGAGGGGACCATATGTAAAGTGTGTATGTGTGTGTGTTTAACATATACCAACATATGTTGCATGTGTACCTCATTTATGTACTTGATTTAACTTGTAAGTACTTTACTTTGGGAACTAAGAATTTATCAACAAAGCTTCTGAACAGCCAAAACATTTATTGCACAGTCTGTGCACTAAAGCTTTAGGGAACCCAACCTTTTTACTTAATTAAACAAAATTGCTTTTCTTACTTTCTGTGTAGAACCAGATGTGGAAGGGGAATCTCTGGATAGAGTTCCCTGGAGATAGGCATGGAGAAGTGACAAGTTACTTAAGTTAGTGATTAACCTGAGGCTAATTGACTGTCAAGGCAAATACACCTGTAAGACTCTCAGTGACATATAGCATATGATATGTAAAGTAGATGGGATATGATTTAAGAAAAAATTGAAATGTTTAATCAATTTGATATTTCCTTTTAAAAAATTTTGGCTTTTATGAAGGGTAATCCCCCAGTTATCTGGAAAATTCATATGTGTGGAATAATCCATTCTCTCATGATACTGAGACTGTATGTATAGTCATACATATATATTAACATTTTGTACATACATATAGGAAAATTTTGACTAACATCTGCTTGGTGAATGAGGTGTTCTATTTAACTGAGGGTTAATCAGAAATATCTTCTTTGTTTCAGAATGATTATGTAAATTAGTTAATTGCAGCATAATGATCTGTGATTTAATTGATGTGGATACTCTCTACTCTGATTCAGATTGAAGTATCATATGCCTCAGTTAGATGGTCTTCATGAGATGCTCTATTCAAAGACACAGTACCTACTGGACGACATATTGGTGATGAGCTTTTCTCTTGTCTGCAGATAATAGATAACTCAGCAGTGAGCCTGTATCAGCCTTTTTGGCTTATGTCATGCTAGAGCTTATATTCTGATACAGCTTTTAAGAGTGCCACGTCACTTACAAACATCGGTAGGAGGCTGACTTTAGTGGAAGTTTGGGGTCAGTCTTTTTGGTTAATATTTCTAAGTTTTGTTCATTTAACAAATGGGTTTTCCTAGGCAAATAACTCTAACCAAACCTGTTAAAACAACATCTTTATTTTAGAAGTATAACTAATGCAATGCAGTTGGAACAATGAGGAGGCCAAAAGAGCCTGAAAAGTAAGCAAACACTTGTTCTCCTTGCCTGCAGAGACATGGAAGCCAAAGGCAATTCTGGTTTAGAGCACAAGCCAATTTGTGAAATACTACAGGGGATGATGGAAAACTATGAGCAGTGTTACCTCAAAGAAGAACCTGCAGAGAGAAATTGGCATGATATCCCTAAATACTTTTTGAAGAAATGACAATGACATTTAAGAAGATGGAGTTGGAAAGAATGTCTGAACTTGAACAAACATATAGATAAGAACTCAGTGCCAGAGGTATTATAATTTTGAAGATATTCTGGGATTGACCTTTCAGGATATCTCAAAGAGTATAAGATTTCCAAAGAGATAGAAGGGATCATGGAGAGTTTTTATGGAAAAGATAATCAGGAAGACATATGCAGTTACTTACATATATTCCTGTTTTATCTCTAAAATTTTTCTGGGAGTGTTCTCTGCATTGATTGAGAGTATCTTAGATGAATGTAGAAGGACATAGACAGGCTACTCTTACTGGAGAGGTCATGGATCCATTGAAGGTATATGACCAGAAAGGAGTTTTACTGGCACTAAAGTAGGACTGAGATATACCACATGGATAATCTGATTGGTATGTTGGTACTTCTAAGACAAGAAGATAACTTTTAGTACATAGTTAGCACCATATCCTCTATGAGGGAATTTTGGAGAAAATATGGATAAAAATTATATAAGATAAAAAGGCATAGAAGGAATGTCCCTACTTAGGAAATTACTGATACATCAAAGTAACATTCAAGAAATATCTGAGTCCTTGTGGGTAAAGACATTGTAGGATGTATGCTGCTTGAGAGCCAGGACTGGTTTATTTATTAATTTTGTATCCTCAGGGTCTAGCAAAGTGCTGGGGACATAGTAGGCATTTAAACAAACATTTATCATTGACAAATTAAGTAAAGTTTAATTAAGTGTGGTTTCAGCCTTTAGATACCCTTTGTAGATTTATACAGAAGAAGATATGTAAATATCAAATTAGTAAGGACTGTATAGTGAGCATAATGAAATCCTTATATATAATTTCTCTTTAGTATTCTCTGAATAATATAATCATGATTATGGTATAGACACTTGTGCTAAATATATGCCAACCTTGAGACATATCCTTGTGTTTCCTTTCAGTTAGATTGAGAGGGAGAGGCAGGAATAATGAAGAAGTGAGGGTATATTCTGAGCAATTTAGGATTCTTGTTAATCAAAGTTTTCTTGTCTATGGATTTTGACTTCCAGTTTAAATATGATAAATGAATACATAGATAAATGAATTAGATGTATTATTTAAGATTATCTATGTTATTTCTGTATTTATAGGATCATAGATCTAGTGCTCGAAGGCTGTTCAAAGGCTGTTGAATTCAAACCCCTAATTTTATATCATTTAAAGAAACTGAGACACACAAGGTCACATAGATAGCAAATATCATGTGGGCTTTGAATATAGTTCCTCTGATTCCAGAGCCAGTGATCGCTCTCTGTACACTTAGATTGGTTGAATCCAGTGTTCATAATTATAGGGTTATAATTTTAGAATTAGAATTTTAACCTAGAAAGAACTCTATAGACCATTTAGTGAAACTCCCTTTATTTTATAGATAAAGAAATGAAACTCAGGAGACTTAAGGAAATTGCCCACTAATAACAGTATCTATTATAGGGCTCTAAAGTTAAGAATGCATCTTCCTTGTAACAACCCTGTGAGGTAAGTAATTAAAATATTATTCTTATATCACAAATGAGGAAGGAATTGAGGCTGGGAGGTTTGATTTGCTAATGGTCATTTAGCTAGTAAGTATTGGACCCAGGATTTGAACCCACATCTCCCAAGTCTTAGCTCAGAGATCTTTCCATTATGCCATTCTCTCAGCACTCAAAGTCATAGAGCTGAAGCCAGGATATAAAGCTAGAGTACAGGTGTCTTGTTATAGCAGTGCATATTCAACAGATAAGATTTCACATTCTTATTTACATAAATGATATAAATGCATTTAACTGGATCTTTAGCTGTACTACTCTTTTTTTCTTTGTTCCTTTCTTGTGAGGAATGGAAATGTGGTTAGGTCTTTAAGAAAGCAGCATTGAAAAATTGTAGTTCTGACCAGAAATGAATAACGTTGTTTATGGTATATTAGCGAATTTAGAATGACCATGGGAAATATTTTTTGGAATGTTCTGTTAAAGTATGATGTAAAGTATTGATTGGTTGGATATTGAAATTTATGATTTTTTAATAAGCAAGTAATTTGACTTGGGAAGCCATGAACAGATAATCTTAATCAGATTACCTGAAAATCATGACCAAAAAAAGCTTAAATACTATATTTCAAGAAATCATAAGTGAAAATTGCTCAGATCGCTTAGAACCAAACCATAGCCTAAAGTAAAAATAGAAAGAATCTATCACTTACCTCCTGAAAAAAAACCCACAATCAAAACTCTCAGGAACATCATCAAATCCAAAGCTTCCAGGTGAAAGAAAAAAATACTGCAAGCAACCAAAAACAAGAATTCAGGTACTTGGGAGCCGCGGTCAGGATAACACACGTTTTAGCAGCTCCTATGAAAGAGTGGAGAGCTTGGAAAATGATATTCCAAAAGGTAAAAGATAGGCTTACTACTAGAAGTAACTTACCCAGCAAAATGGAGTATAATCCTACATGGAAAAAAAAATAGACCTTTAATAAAATGAAGAACTTGTAAATATTCCTGATGAAAAGATCAGAACTGAGTAGACACATTGAAATGGAAACTCAGGAGTAAAGAGAAAAGCAGAAAGGTACACACTTGTGATAAATGGTTAATATGTCAATAGGGGGACAAGAAACAAAGTCTTCTCAGAACCCAGGGGCCATAGAGGAAGATAAATAAGACGGACAGAAGACCTGGGTGTGATTTTGCTATGCATGGTAATCTTAAGAGAAGATATAAATGGGAAGGATAGAGGACTGTATTGAGGATAAAAGGAGGAGGAAGAAGAGGGAAATCACTGTAGTTGTATTAGATGAAAAGTATTCAAACATGGAGAAAGGAATGGAAAGAATGGTGTCCCACAAATCTCACTTTTCGTCTGAACAAAGAAAGAAAGATTGAACACAATCACCCATATGCACAAAGATTATGAAATAGAAATATGTTAAATTCAACTGGGAAATAGGAAGGAAGGGAAGAAGGAGGGATTTACAAGGGAGGGCAGGATAAGCAAAGGGTTAGTCTTAAGCAAAATAAATCCCAAAGTTGGAGAGGGTGTGATGAGGCAAGTATTCTTAAGAAAGGAAGAGCAAAACCTGTCATTGGGGGTAGGGTGAAGGCAACAAAGTAGAAATATACTGCTTCATTTATAGATTATGAGTATTAGGTAAATTCCTGTTCTTTTACTACCACCCTTTATTTCTAAAGTGAGTGTTGGGAACAAAGAGAAGAAAAGGTACAAGATGACAGAAGCAAGGGAAATATAAACCAGTCATAACGGTGAATAGGAGGAATTACCCATGAAGTAGAAAGGTATAGCAGAATGGATTAGAAAGCAGAATCCCACAATATTTTTGTTTTCGTGTTTTTCAAGAAACTTACTTGAAATATAATTCATATATGGTTAAGCTTAGGAGCTGGAGTAGAATTGATTATGCTTCAGATGAACTAGAAAAGGCAGGGGTAGCAATAATTTCAGATAAGACTAATACATGTAGGCATGATAAAGAGGGGAATTGCATTCTTTTTAAAGCATCAATGCTTCATATAAGTGGATAACAAATACTTAAAGGAAAAATTAAGTGGATTTCAGGGAGAAATAGGCAATAAAAGTATAATAGTGGGGACCTCAATGTACTTCAGAACTAGACACAAATATAACAAAAAGATAAGTAAGAAAAAAGATAAGGACTTGAGTAGAACTTTTGATAAATCAGAGACGATAGATCATTCCTGTTACTGAATAGTTTGAAACAGATGGAAACAGCCTTGACTGTAGTTTGCTGACCCCTGCTCTATACTATCTCACGTGGTGACCTCTTCAATTCCCATGAATTCAATTATTATCTCTATGCCAGTGATTCCCAAATCTATCTCTCCAGCTCAAGTCTTTCTGCTTAGCTACATTCACACTTAACTGAATGTTTCTTGGACATCTCAAACTAGAAGCATCTTAAACTCTTAATTTATTCTTTCCTTCTAAATCTCACTTTGCTTGAATTTTCCTTTTAACTGTCAAGAATATCACTATTCTCCTAGTAATCCTGCAATCTTGGTGTCATTTTTGATCCCTTACTCTCATATATACCAATCCATTGCCAAATTGTATTGTTGCTACCTTTACAACATCACTTGTATGTGTCCTTTTCTTCATTTGTGCAGCTGCAACCCTAGATTAGACTGTTTATCACCTCTTTCCTGATCTACTGCAATGGCCTTCTAATTAGTCTCCCTGACTTAAGTCTCTCCAGTCTATCTTCCACACATTTGCCAAAATGATTTTGCTAAGGCATGAGTGTGACCATGTCTTTTACACCTTGATAATGAACTTTGGAGTTCTTTGTTATATACAACATCAAATATACAGCTCCCTGTTAGGCATTTAAAATTCTTTATAACCTGGTAGCCTCCTACCCTTCCAGCCTTCTTGCAACTTACCTGCTTACTCTTTTAGCTTTACATCCTACTTGCAGTTCCTTGAACACACCATTTCCTATCTCTATGCCTTTGCACTGATTTTCTGCCATGCCTAGAATATTATGCTCCTTTACTTAGTTTCCATGACTTCCACCAAGGCTAGACTGGCTTAAAGTTCACCTTTTGCAGGCATTTCCCCTTCTCTCTCATTCATTCATTCCTTCCCTTTTCATATTACCTTCCATCTACTTGTTATTTATCTTATATGTACCTAGTTTTTTGCATGTTGTCTCCTCCATTAGAATATATGCTTCTTAAATTAAAGCTATCTATAATCATGAAAAGATTAGAGCAGGGATAGGGAACCTGCGGCCTCTAGGCCACATGTGGCCTTCTAGGTCCTCAGCCTTTTGACTGAGTCCCAAGGGGATTTGTTCTGTGAAGTTTGGATTCAGTCAAAGGGCCACACTTGAGAACCTAGAGGGCCACATGTGGCCTGAGGCTGTAGGTTCCCCACCCCTGGATTAGAGAAATGCAAATTAAAACAACTCTGACATACCACCTCACACCTATCAGATTGGCTAATATGACAGAAAAGGAAAATGATAAATGTTGGAGAAGATGCAGGAAAATTGGAACACTAGTACATTGTTGGTGGAGTTGTGAACTGATCCAACCATTTGAGAGAGAGAGAGCAATTTGGAGCTGTGCCCAAAGGGCTATAAAACTGTGCATATCCTTTGATCCAGCAATACCACTTCTAGGTCTGTATCCCAAAGAGATCATAAAAAAAAAGGAGAAGGATCCACATGTACAAAAATATTTATAGCAGCTCTATTTTTGGTGGCAAAAAATTGGAAATTGAGGGGATACCCTTCAACTAGGGAATGGTTGAACAAGTTGTGGTATATGAATGTAATGAAATACTATTGTACTATAAGAAATGATGAACAGGCAGATTTCAGAAAGACCTGGAAAAGGCCTACGTGAACTGATACTGAGTAAAGTGAGCAGAACTAGGAGAACATTGTACACAATAATAGCAACATTGTGCTATGATCAACTTTGATAGACTTAGCTCTTCTCAGCAATACAAGGATATAAGACAATTCCAAGACTCATGATGGAAAATGCTGTCAACATCCAGAGAAAGAACTATGGAGTCTAAATGCAGATTGAAGTGTACTGTTTTCACTTTTTTGTTCTTTCTTTCTCCTGGTTTTTCCCTTTGGTTCTGATTCTTCTTTCACAACATGACTAATGTGGAAATATGTTTAATGTGATTGTACATGTATAATTTATATCAGATTGCTTGCTGTTTTGGGGAGGGAAGGGAAGGAGAGAAAAAAATTTGGAACTCAAAATCTTACAAAAGTGAATGCTGAAAACTATCTTTGTAATTGGAAAAAATAAAATATTAAGCGGGGAAAAAAAAGAATATATGCTTCTTGAGGGCAGGGACTATTTCTTGTTTTTATTTGTTTTCCCAGGATTTGGCACAATGCCTGAACCATAGTAAGTGCATATAAGTGATAAATTCTTCTTGACTGACTGACTTTAGTTTGCTGTTCAAGTAACAGTATCTTGACTAGGAAGTCCAGATTCTCAAAACATTGAAAAAACTGAGAATTCACAACTCCATTCATTATTCATGTGTCTTGATTAGTTTTCTACTATCCTTTCAACCTCTTATAATGGTTGGAAAGGTGCTCTGAGGTTTCCCCTTCTAACACTTGTCCCTATTATTTTGCAGATGATAAAACTAACATGGATGAATTTCCCATGGTCACATTGTAAGTCAGAAAACATAGGATCATAGTTTCAGAGCTGGAAGGGGCCATAGATGTCATTTCGTTCAGCCCTCTCATTTTATAGATAACTGAGGACCAAAGCGGTTAAATGACTAGTGCAAGGTTAAATGTGGTAAATGGCACAGACAGGAGTCATATCCAGGTATTTATGCTTCCAAATATAGCATTCTACTGCTTCAATCTTGAATAATCTTGTTCATTTTTTAAAAATTAAAAGTTAATCTCTTTATTGCTTAATCAAGTATTCGGAAATAATTTTAGACATAATTAGAGAAGGTATACTTAGAAATGTTAAACGGTTAGTAGTGTTGACTAATCATGTAGGGTACCTACTTTTATTATACAGCAAAAAAAAAGATTTGTAAATAGTATAGTAAATGCATTTATGAGGTGCTTTTGAAATATCCAACAGAGCTTGTTCTTGAGTTGTGGTGCCTCCAGGGATGTCCCATTATGTTCCAGTATTTTTCTACTAGTAACTCAAAATTGCTTTAGTTAAACTGACATCTGAAATAGTATAATTCCCATTTTACATGATGAGACTTGCCAGTAGATGCAGCTGGTGGTGCATTGGATAAGCATGCTGGGCCTGGTGTTAGAAAGACCTGAGTACTAGCTGTGTGATCCTGGACAAGTCACTTAACCTCTGTTTGCTCCAGTTTCCTCAACTGTAAAATGGGGATCATAATAGTATCTACTTCCCAGGGTTGTTGTGAGGATCAAATGAGAAATTATTTGTTAAAGTGCTTAGTATAGTACCTAGCACATAGTAGGCACTATATAAATGCTTATTCTCTCCCTCTATCCCAATGTAATATAACTAATAAGTGTCAGAGATGGATTTCAAACCCAGGTCTCTCATGATTTCAAATACAGCCCACTTTCCACTATACAATACTGCCTTGGCTAACTGTTCTCTCTTCCTTTTTAACCTGCCATCATGACGGGAAAGGAAATGGGTAGAGAATGAACTACCAGACGAAGGTTAATTACCTGTAATTTAAAAAAATCTCTTTATATGTCATTGTTTTGATTTGTCTTATAAATCTCATATGCTTATATATTGTAAGTATGTAATATGACTGTGCCTGTGTTTGTGTTTTATCCACCCACTAGACCCTAGGTTCCTTGAAGGCAGGGATTATGTCTAATCGATGCTAATATTGTTCCTAACATTTTACTTTGTGCATACAAACTGCTTAATATGTTTTATGTTTTTTATATTTTTATATATTTAATTTATTTTAAAATATTTAGTTATATACATTTATTTATATTTAATTTATTTAATATTTTGTATTTCAGTTTTAATTTTGATCCTATGTGAGCTGTAGGATATTAGTTCCCTACCGCCATTATATTTTTTCTTTTATTCCCCCCTACTCTTTTTTTTTTTTCGGTGAGGCAATTGGGGTTAAGTGACTTGCCCAGAGTCACACAGCTAGTGAGTGTTATGTGTCTGAGATAAGATTTGAGCTCAGTTCCTCCTGACTCTAGGGCTTGTGCCCTAACCACTGTACCACCTAGCTGCCCCCATTATATTTTTTCTCAGTCAGGGCCTGGAACTCAGTTCTACTTCTAGTATCCCAGAAACGAAAGTAATGGGCTAGTCCTTTGTAGGCTTCAGAAATACACTTTTTCTATCCCTTAACGTAATATGTAACATGATCTGAGGCTAAACGGGGACTTCGCTCCTGCCCTCAATCCTAGCCATCTTGTATTTTCTCATCCTGAAGTTTACAGCCAAAGCCTGGGGTAGTCTGTCCTTTTGTCCTGCCTCCCCCTTAGCTTTGGGTTTTTCTGCTTTCTTCACTCTGTCTTAGAGACTAATGTGTTTTAGCCCCATTTGAAATCCTTATTCCCTTACCCTTGTTCTCACTGATCCTCTGAAACAGTTTGTCTAGCCATGGAACAAGGCTCCTCTTTCACTTCCATTATGTTGGGCTATTGGCTTGCCTCCCAAAAGACCAGTACAGACTTGATATCTTTCTGTAACAGTTAGGGATCTAATCATGAGTCTTGTTTGAGTCTTTAACTGCCATCATCCCCCTTCCCCAGGCCTAAAAGCTGTATGCTGAAATAATTATAACTAAAAAATTATACGAATATATAGTAATACCAACATTTTCACCTTCAAAATACATGGCCAAACAATTTTATTACAAGTATTTTAAACAATCTCCATGATACCTTGTTGTTTATACTGTTAATGACAGTAGAGGTTGTACACACAGATAATTTTAAGGACCTCTACTTTTGAGAGAAAACTCAAAGAATTAAGAGATGTAATGTGTTACTTCTGTGTCTTTTTTTTATTGAAAGTGTAATAAAACCATGTCAGTCAATTCACGTTTTCTTATAGAGGGAAAAAAGAAGCCTCAGTTCTGCTATATATTTGCTCAGGATAGAAGTATAGTAAGTAGCAGGTAAGGAAGAGGATCACTTCATAAACTAAATCAAGTATAAAGTTTGGGCCTGTGTGGAATTTTTTTGCATGCTTGAGTCACTCAAGGTTCCACAAGGAGGCATGATTCCAAATGAAAAGGAAGAGGTTCAGAACTTTTCTAAGTAAATTTTTTCTTTATGTGCCATTGATTAAGATTAGAATTTTGATCAATGAAATTAAATAATCCAAAAAAGGAAACTTAATTAAAGGAGTAAGATTTAAATTGACTTATGTAATTTGAAAACCTGTAATTTGGAATTATCTTTGAGATATGAATGCCTATAGATAGTGAAGTCTTCAATATTTTGTCTGTAAATGATACTGTGCTGATTGCATCAAATCCTGAAACATTTTCAAAGTCACATAAGTGAGATCCATAATAATATAGAAGAGTTAGGCTTAAGTATTCGCACAGGAGAAAAACAAATTGATGAAGAGTGCTAATTGTCCAGACTGATATATAGAGAAATGCATGTGTGTGTGTGCGTGTGTGTATACACACTGCATGTAGATAATTGATAGAAACTGAAATTGGATAACGAATTAGGCATGGGGTAGAACAAGAGGAGAAGAGCTTTAAATTACCTTTGGGAACTTGCAAAGTTCTTTCAAAGACCCCAAACTTCTCTCTGGAACAAAGTCTCGTCTTTTTTTTAGACCAACATTCTTTCCATGATGTTATATGACTTTGTTATAAAGGAACATTATAGGCTTTGAAGAATTAGGGCAGCAAAGAGGTGTACAGTGAGTGTGAGCAAGCTATCATACCTCCCTAAAGAGGAACTCTGGAGAGGCAGCATAAAGGCTTCTGCCAGAGAAATGTCTAATCAGAAAATTGGACTGATAGATACATGGCAAGAGGAAGGAATGCAGTAATAGACATTGTGCCTCAGTAGGTTAGGGGATCTCAAGGAAGCATCAAGCACATTGGTTGGTCATGGACTAGTGTCATGTATGCTAAGTACACAGGTAATAAACGTAAGTGCATTATAAGGGATTACCACATTGAAGAGATCACAAATATATTTGGAGTAATTTAGATACTGAAGTGTAACTTGTAAGAGTGCTTATACTTTAGTTGTTCAAGAGGGCAGCTAGGTGGCACAGCAGATAAAGTGCCAGGCCAGGAAACTCATCTTCCTTAATTCAGATCTGACCTCAGACACTTAGTAGCTGTATGACCTATGCAAGTCACTTAACCTTGTTTGCCTCAGTTTCCTCATCTGTAAAATGAGGTGGAGAAGGAAGTGGTAAACCACTACAGTATCTTTGCAAAGAAAACCCCAAAGGGGGTCATGAAGAGTTGAACACAACTGAAAAACGATTGAATAACAGTCATTCAAGAGGAATGATTTGGGAAAGTTAGCAATACATGATAGGACTTTATTCACTTATAAACCAAAAATAATACAAATTATTCTGTATTTTTTACTTAGCTATACGTCTTCTTAATACCAGGTAACAAAACTGATTAAATCCTCACAAATGACAAAGTTATAATAATGTTATTCACCATAAATAATCATCTTGGTTTGTTTTCTTGAGGCATTGAAAATTGTGTAGATTCATATATCTTGTGCCTGACTTCTTAGGAACCTGTATGAAACTTTGGACATATTTCACAAAACCAAAAAAATGCAATTACATTCTTATCAAATCTTTTCCCCTTGTCTTTTACTTCCTTTCCATTCTTCAATGTTCTCAGATTTTAACTGGAATTATAATTGCATTATCTTCTTTCTGTAACTTATTTAAAATTTAGAAGCATATGTGGATTCTTCATTGTTAAATAATAGAACCATAAAAGTTCTCTTCAGAGATGTTAAAAGGCATTCTGCCCCATTCCTAACAACTGAGGATTGTCTTAGGTTTGTTTGTTGTTGTTGAATTAGAAGAAAACACACAGAGGACCCACAACCACTGTCTAAGGCACTTAGGACTTAATCATCAGGCATTATCATAGCTCCCAAGCAGTGATTTGGGGTGAAAAGTAAATAAGCTGGAAATTATAGCTAAAAGAGATTCTTTTATTATGGGAACAATTGAAGGAAAACATAATTATTCAATACAAACCACATATATTTGGCCCTGAACCTTATCAACTCATTATGTGACGCAAGAAAGGAAATATACTGCATGGCTTTTGACTAGCCTACTTGCATATTTTCCTCTATATTTATAAATGTATATTGGAAAGGGGTAGGAGAGGTTGCAATAAAATGAGATATATACTAAATGGCACATACAAACTGATGTTGGATCTCTTCTCTAGGCAGCTAGTTGCACAGTGGTTAGAGCACTAAACTTGGCATTAAGAAGACCTTAGTTTAATTCTAGCTTCAGACACTACCTTGTATGATCCAGGGCAAATCACTTAACCTCTTTCTCTGTGTGTTCCTGGGCAAGTCACTCTTTTATCGGCTTCATTTTCCTCATCTGTAAAATAGGGATCATAACAGTATCTGCATCTCAGGATTGTTGTGAGGATCAAATGAGATAATATTTCTGAAGTGCTTTGCAAGCCTTCAAGTGCTTTAGAAATGCTAGCTATTGTTATCACTTTTCCTGCCCCCTATCACCTATACCTATGCAAATAACTGCATAACCTTTAAATAACTGATATAAGAACTCTCTTCAATACAGAGAAAATATCCTGAGATAATAAAGAAAGTTCTCTGTTTCACTC